TTCACGTGGAGCCAGGGGTAACGTCCTTCGGGGATCTTCTGACGACAAGTACTGACATGCTAGCAGCACTTCTTGTTCGTCTGAACAACAAATGCTGTCATATGGGAAGATATTGTTGTCGCAATGACAAGATTTGCTGTGTGATGAGCCCTGGCGGATTGCAGATGTTCTTCCACGTGAACAGGGACTGCTGTTGGGCCTCGTGACACATATTGTTCGTCCCCATTCTGGGCGTACAGGATCAATCAATCTTGATCCAAGCAATCTTGGGGCTCGTTTTTCGTTGATCCCTGGGTTTCCCGAGGTGCCCCGGGCTTCTGAAGGTCCCCGGTGCCACCGTGGGACAGGACCATTCCGTGGGGCACATACTGGTGAGAGGCGACTGGGTGGTCCCAGTTGGACAAGCCTAGAAGAAATCGAGAACCGGTCCAAAGGAGTGATGAAGGCACATTCGCTCACAATCGGTCCCAGATCCCTCCTGGGATCGAAGCCGACCTGATCTGCGAGCTGCGTTCAGCTGTGGCGACGAAGGGGGCCCTTATCACCCCCCTTCTGCTGGCCGGAACCAGTGCTGGCCCCCCTCAGCCCCCCAGCCAGCTCCAACATGCTGGCAGGTTGGCTACTAATCTAGAGGCATCCGAACTGGAGTCCGAGTAGATGGGGTCGGAGGATCGCGCCGCATCGTCGATGCATCGGCGATGCGTCGACAACGTTGGCGATGCATCGGCGACGCTGGCATGGAGAAAGCCAGGCTCCAGATCGCCCTGCATCGCCGATGCGTCGGTGATAGGGCGCGGTATTCCGACCCAGTCTACACGGGCCCCATCATCGGAGGTTGCTAAGGGGACCCCTGGCCCAAGGTTCCCCCAGCTCTTCGCTCCATTTCGGGGCCCCTGGGGCCCTCCGGGCTTCGTGAGGGGTGCTCTGGAGGTCGTGGGGGCCTCCTGGGGAATCCTGGGGGCGCCTTGGGCCAGGTGCACCTCTGGCACGCACCCGACCGCAAGGAGGCCCCGACGATCTGGTGCACCCGTCCTCCTCCTCCTCCTCTTCTTCCTCCTCCTCCTCCTCCTCCTCTTCCTCCTCCTCCTCCTCCTCCTCCTCCTCCTCCTCCTCTCCTCCTCCTCCTCCCCCTCTCCCCCTCCTCCCCCTCCTCCCCCCTCCTCCTCCTCCTCCTCCTCCTCCTCCTCCTCCTCCTCCTCCTTCCTCCCCTCCTCCTCCTCCTCCTCCTCCTCCTCCTCCTCCTCCTCCTCCTCCTCCTCCTCCTCCTCCTCCTCCTCCTCCTCCTCCTCCTCCTCCTCCTCCTCCTCCTCCTCCTCCTACTGGACGATCTGGTGCACCCGCTGCAGGTGCGCACGCTGCTGGCAGGGAAGCGGCGGAGAGGCGCGCCCTGGCCTGCAGGGCGACAGCGCGGGAGGTGCCGCTCTGGGCCGAAATGGCTTGCGGGGGTGCGGAAGCAGGCGCGAGGACGAGGGGGGAGGAGGAGGAGGAGGAGGAGGAGGAGGAGGAGGAGGAGGAGGAGGAGGAGGAGGAGGAGGAGGAGGAGGAGGAGGCGGAGGAGGAGGAGGAAAGGGGAGGAGGAAGGGGAGGAGGAAGAAGAGGAGGAGGGAGGAGGAAGGGGAGGAGGAAGGGGAGGAGGAAGAGGAGGAGGAGGAGGAGAACGAAGACGCCTCTTCCCCGCGCCGCCCAGTCCGGCCGCGGCGCGGCCCCCCCTTCCCCCGGCGCGGAGGCCAAGGACCGCTCGAACGTAACAGCATCTCGTCGGTTTCGAAGCTGGAGGTTCGACCTTTTCCGGCGATTCCGCGGCTCTCGGCGGTTTGCCAGCCTCGGGATGCTTTCTGGCATCTGCGCCCTGTCGAGGGCGTGAGGTTGTAGTCGAGCCCGGTGCCACCTGCAGGCTGTGGGCAACCTCCCGCGCCGCCTTCTCCGGCATGGGCCGGGGGCACGCGTGGTGGGATCAAAAAATGAAACAAACTCAACACAGAGTGCGGAACCCGCCCGGGCTCCCGTGCCACGCCGCCCCCATCGTGTCCCCGCCCCGCAGATGGGGGCAGGGAGGGCCGGGGCTGGGAACAAAAATGGTAAGATTCGAGAGAGCCGCGCCGTTCAACTGCGCAGAAGAATACGAAGGAGAAGAAGAGCGACAGGGACGCGCTGCCAGAAACTACTTAAAGACCTTGCTTGCAACCTGTCCGGCATTCCAAGCCCCACCTCCAAGGCGAGCGGCGCCGGCACGACGAGTCGCACTAACACCGAGGGCGCATAATGAGGGCTCCAGGCCACGTACCACCTTTGCAAAGCCTCGGGACAGCGCATCGTGCAGAGTCATAGTGGACAAGAGTCGAGCTCCACAGCGGACAGCAGTCGACACCGTGAAGACAGCAGGGCCAAACCCTGGCTAAAAGACGGAGGTGGGGATCTGGCCGCAACGATGCTCGTAAGGTAAACTGAATGATCAAAGTGCAACGCGCGAGAAAAAAAAGAAACTGAATTGGTATAAGTGTGAGCCAAACTGCACGGCTGGAGGCGCCGCTCTGGCCAGCAAGAAAAATACGAAGAGCTTGCATCAGCGTAGTGCTAGCCATACATGCCGGAATATGGTCTCAAGTGTATGTGAACATATGCAACACACTCAGAGAGCCAGGTGGCACGGTGGACAGGTGAGAATGTCTGTGCAAAAATGCCAAGGCACGAGGGGCCCCCTGTACCGCGAGCCCCCCGAGCCGATGTGGCCAGCGGACAGCCCAACTGGCCGGTGAGATCGTTTGGCCGCTGTTAGCCGTACCTGTTCCTGCAATGCGTGCTGATAGCTTTCCTCCAGGGACCACGTAGGGGTAGATCTCGTCCCTTGGCCTTGTCGAGAGCATTCTGAGGGTTCCCAGATCGCCCCGAACGGTTGCCAGAGATCCGAAGTATGACCGAGCGCCAAGCTCGGCGCGCTATAATTCGGGGAGCCGGTTCGACACAATTGTGGTCAATGCGAGTCCCGGACCTCCAACGTCTCGAGGAACTCGATGCGGAAGTCCTTCTCCGTTTTGGGCCTCATGGGGGCCCTGCCGGGCCCCAGGGCTGTCAGAATAACGACTCTGGAGAAACGGCCCAGAGCAGGAGTCGTCGTAGCCGTCAGCCAGGACAACCCCAGCCTCGTCTCATCGAGGGGCGAGCAGACAAGGGGGAGGAGGAGGAGGAGGAGGAGGAGGAGGAGGAGGAGGAGGAGGAGGAGGAGGAGGAGGAGGAAGACCCAGCCCACCCGATCCCAACCCGACGCTCGCAACTCTCATGCAGAGGCTCGTCTTCAGGGGAGTGGAGGAGGAGGAGGAGGAGGAGGAGGAGGAGGAGGAGGAGGAGGAGGAGGAGGAGGAGGAAGAGGAGAGGAGGAGGAGGAGGAGAGAGGAGGAGGAGGAGGAGGAGGAGGAGGAGGAGGAGGATGAGGATGAGGATGAGGATGAGGATGATGATGATGATGATGATGATGATGATGAGGAGGAGGAGGAGGAGGAGGAGGAGGAGCCGGCCCCTGAGAAGAGGCCTGGACATCCAGGGGGGCCCGTATTGAGAAGCTCAAGGCATTGGATGTCTTGGACTGCAGCGAGGGGTCAAGCAAAAAAACAAGGCTGGCGGTAACCCTGGCCGCACAACGTCGGGTGAAGAATTGCATGGGCCGTGTGGCCCTTCCGTTCCGCACAGCGGGGATGGCGAGGGCGATCGCGTGGACTACGCATTGCTCGATTTCGTGCAGCAGGAGGAGGTGGAGCGTGGCCTGGAGGCGAAACACACATTCTCCTCCGATGCGCCTCAGAGCTTGCCGCTGAGCCCAAGAGCGCACGTGGGGCCCCAGCAGCGGACGGCGAACGGCGACCCTGACAGCCTCGGCGAGCCGTGGCACGTCTTGAGCAGTTAGCTCGGGGCGACCACGGGCGTGAAATAGCTGAACGTCGTTCAAGTATCATACGACCAACGCAATATTGAAATCATCCTTGCCAATCTCACGAACTGGGCCAATCTTGACCCTGGAATCCTGGGGGACCTCGCGAGAAAGAACAATCGATAGAAGGTCGAGAGCCCCGGACACTCCAGGATGTGGTGTGAAACGGAATCACAAGTCGAACCGCCCCTAAAAATGCAGCCCGAGTGGGCCTGCCTCATGCGATGGTAAGTGGTCCAAGCGCCGAGCCACGATTTCGAGGTGGCGGAACGCCACGCGAACGGAAACTGCCGCACGGCCGTTACCACATCCCCCAATCCACCAGCCTCATCGGGAGATACCACCTGGTGATCCTGCGATCCAATGTAGCCCCGACCACCCAGCGGAAAAGAGCCTGATGGAATATCGCCTGAAACTGTGACTGCCAACGGGATCTACCGCTGTTGGGCGGGCCTGCCTGGAACACAGAAAGACACAGACGATCTGGTTCGGACAGGCTGGCTGACTGGCTGGCTGAGAAGGGAGATAGCTGTGGAGAGCGAAGAAGCAGATGGGGAGCGATGAAGCTATCACGGCGAGAACAAGGGGCGATGTGTTTGGTGGGCGCCAGATGTACATCCAGGTTTGACAGACTCTGCCCGACGCATGGGAACCACATAGCCCCGAATGATTTTCCCTATGTGGAAGTGAGGGGTCAGGTCGATAATGTCCCCTCTGCGCTGAGAGACGCTCACTACTATTCACACGCAACAGAAAACTAAGACCCTGGACTCATCGACGTCCTGGGTGTGGAGGCAATGGTGATGCAAATCGTATCATGCGCAAACGCAAACGTGAAGAGAAATCCCTCAGCAACCGGTATAATCAATGTCGACAAACAGCTTATGGCATATTACTCAATGGTGCCGATGGGACTCTCTGACATTCAGCAGGTGCACGCCACACAATACCAACGTTCTGTAACAACACTCGAACACTCCAAGCCCCTGTCGTCTTTTGCTGGAAGTTCGGTGCGTAGCCACGCCTACCCAAAGCGGCCAACACATGCGGATGATTATGAAGATGACGATGGCGTAGATGCTAGTGGTCACGAGTGGTGGTGGTGACTTATGCTTATCATGACGATTGCTAACCGCGAGCTGACACTCACGGCCCGAGCGTTGCCGCAATGGGATCCACCAACCCCCCACTCGGGTTCACGCAACCGTGGCGAGAGAAACGGCTGATTCCGGCGTCTCTACTAAATCATTGCCCTCCTATCCTCTTCGCTATTCCCGCCTTCTTCCTACCCTCTCACCAACTGCGACTTGAATGCGAACGAATGCTTCAGCGTGCAAGTGCATCAGGGCCTTGGGAAACAGCGTCGTCCATATCAGGCGGTTGGTGACGACAACGCCCAATGCATGCATCGGGATGGTGGTTACAACAATGACGACGGCGATGATGATGGCGACAACGATGCAACTACTGGCGATGACGGCAATCAGGATGATACATATGGCATACACTGATGATGGTGACGGTCCTGGAGGCTGTCTGGAAGTTGGTCGCATCTTTCGCGCGGAACCGGTAATCCTGATGCCTTGCCCTCCCAAAAACGGGAGAGAGCCCCCCATTCTCACCCCCTGACTTGCGGCGCCCGTGCCCCCCAAGCCCTGGCATCCGAGCCGAGTACGCATCGTCGTCGTCGTCGTCGCCGTCGGCGTCGGCGTCGTCGTCGTCGTCGCCGTCGTCGTCGTCGTCGCCGTCGTCGTCGTCGGCGTCGGCGTCGGCGTCGGCGTCGGCGTCGGCGTCGGCGTCGGCGTAGACGTCGGCGTCGGCGTCGACGGCGTACGGGCGTCGTCCGTCACCGAATTTCGCGCATCGCGCCCCGCGAGGCCACCCTGGAGAAGGACAACTCTCCGGCCCAGGCTGCAGTGCTCGAAATGCGATTCTGTTCGCGCCCCTGAGAGGAGTAGGGGTAGGAGTAGGAGTGGGAGTAGGAGTAGGAGTAGGAGTAGGAGTAGGAGGAGGAGGAGGAGGAGGAGGAGGAGGAGGAGGAGGAGGAGGAGGAGGAGGAGGAGGAGGAGGAGGAGGACGAGGAGGAGGAAGAGGGGAGGAGGAGGAGGAGGAGGAGGAGAGGAGGAGGAGGAGGAGGCGGAGGAGGAGGACTGGGAGGACGTGGGGGAGGACTAGGAGGATGACTAGGAGGACGTGGAGGAGGAGGAGGAGGAGGAGGAGGAGGAGGAGGAGGAGGAGGAGGAGGAGGAGGAGGAGAAGAAGGAGGACTCTCGTCTCGTCTCGTCTCGTCTCGTCTCCATTCAAGCAACGATCCTTGCCTGGTCGTATCTGCTCTGGGTCGGGGGCGTGTCATAGCTCGCCCCCTCTCTCGCATTGCGTCACTCTGGTGCCTGCCGTGCCGAAATCAAGCTGGCACGGGCGGATGCGCCCCGCTTGGCGCCCGCACGGGGGACACCGTGGTGAGGCGCTCGCGAATACGGGAAAAGACGTCGATATCGCCCTGTCGCGATGCATCGGGGTGCCATGGCAGGTACAGCTTTCGCTCGCATTTGCGGACTGAATTTCGTGACGTTGTCATGGCTCGTGCATGTCACGGGCGGCCTCTTCGTCAGCTGCGAAGGGGTCGGGTTCCTGAGCGGTGGGGTCGGGGCGACGCGCCGAGGTCGAAGCAGACCCGAAGAGGCGACGAGGGGGAACAGGGTACGGGTCCCTAGGAAGCGTGCCGGTAGACTGGTGCTCTAGTCCAGGCGGCGGTCTCGCTCTGTGATACGACGCTACTACGAGGCTCACTTGGGCCTGCCCTTGCCCTTGCCCTTGCCGCCTCCGCCGGTCTTCCTGGCCAAGTTGCCCCTCAGAGCCTTGTTGACGAGGTGGCGCCCGCCTGCTGCGCGAAGCTGCTCGGCGATGAGCAGGTTGATGTCCATCAGGTACCCTGGCATGTTGAGGATGGTGGTCGGCGTCTCGGTCGGACTCACCTGCTTGATCGTGTCGTCGCCGCCTCCCTCGATGGCGGCCATTAGCTTCTCGTGGTCGGACACCTGTGTCGTCATCGGGATCTGGCCTTTGAGGTTGAAAGTAAGGCGTGTCTTATGAGCTTTGCCTGGCTGGTCGAATGTTGGGCTCGCCACCATCTCTGTGATCCACGTCTCGGCGATGGTCGGTCCGCCGTGCTCGATCATCTTCATCAGGCGGCGGATGCACATCGCGCAGGCGGCCCGTCTCTGTGAGGTGTCCTCGAAGGCGAAATTGCTCAAAGCGGCGAGAACCGCGAAAACACTCTGGCACGCTGGTGTGCCTCGCTCGTCCTCTGGATTGGTCTTCTTGTTGGCGAGGAACCGCTGGAACGCTGCGTTGCTTTCCACGAAGCACGGGTGGTTGCGGTCCAGGAGCACCCTGGTGAACCCCGCGTGTTCGATCGTCCGCATCCTGGCCTCGAGCTAGTGCACCAGGCTGCAGAGAGGGCCTGGCTCGTACTCGTCCTCGTCCTCGTCCTCTATGTCCTCTTGGCGGCGCATCTTGTGCTTGCTGTCCCTGTCCTCGCCCGCGCCGCTCTTGTCCTTCTTGTGGAGGATCCAGGAGGAGGAGGAGAAGGAGGAGGAGGAGGAGGAGGAGGAGTAACCTAGGACTTCCAGTGGGACGCACGTGGCCCGCACCTCCCCTCCCCTTCCTCGGAGTCGGCCAGGGCGGTGAGCACCGCCGCTCTCGGGCGTGCGTGGGCAGCCCTCGAGCCCCTCCCCGCGTATGAGGGCGCAAGTGATGCACCTGCAGCGATCCTCCTTGGCGAACCAGGCCCATCCTGGGTCCAGGATCGGTCTCCGTGCACAGTTGGCGCCCCCAGACCAAAAGCTTCACCCTTGCATCTGACCCCCCGATCACACTGAGACAAATCAGAGGATGAGCGGGTGTCGATACAGTTGTTAATCGGCGCGGGGCTGACGTTTCGCCCTTGGCGAGGCTCTTCTGAATCGAACTGGCTACTGACGATGTGTGTGTGTGTGTGCAAAGGGACGTTGAAACATCTGCGCGAAGACTTCAATTCTCGACGTCGGTGGTGTTAGCAAAGGCGATGGCGGCGAACGCGAGGGTTTATGGGCCACATCTGGAGCTCCAGATCTGGCCAACATGGGCGCGCTCCCCCACCATGGGGACGGATTCACCTCCAATGCGATTCCAATACGTAGATCGGGATCTCGGCCAGCGCCCATACGAAAGCATTGCCCCGGCACATGTGCAAAGAATCCTTACGGTGCTCGCCCCCTCTCCGGCGCTTTGGCCCGCGGCGTATGGGGTGCCGTGAGGCGAAGAACGTCGAGGAGGGCTCTTCGAGAGCGGCAACCAGCTTGGAGCCCGTAGTGCTCGTACCTGGGGGCGGCGGGCAGTCGGCCCGGCCCTCGCTACCCTCACTCTCCACAAGGGGTGGTGGGGACACTTTCCTGGCCAGTGCATGGCTAAGCGCATGACCACGACTGAACGTCGAGGAAGGCCCCCTCCCGGCCCGCGGGCCCAGACTGCTCGCCCCGTGCGCCTGGCCCCCCGCCGCAGCCGCCCCCCCGCCAGTCCTCGTCGGACACCTCTGCGAGGCCCCCATGTCCACTTCCGCCACGGCTCGGGGCTCGCTGCTCGAGGTTTTGTGAAGGGGCCCACAAACGCACGAACAAACACACACACACACAAATCCCAGGATTCCCGTATCTGGGTTTCTGCCTCCCCCCCCACTTCCCATATGTCTTGCGCATTTTCCTGGGAAATCGAAGATTAATTGTGTCTTTTTTTTTTCCTCCCGAATTTGTTCTTCCTTCTGAGCATCGCTTAAACGAACCCTTTCCGCAACGGCGCGGCCTGGGTACAAGTGGCCGATTTACCCCTCTGGATGGGGATCTATAGACCGTTTCCTTCGGGTTTCGAAAGGCACGTCCCCAACCTGAGGTGGGGGAGATGGTGGGCGTCTGGAGGGGTACGGGGATGGGGATGGGCCTAGGTACAACGAGGCTGAGTTCTCACCGCAGCAGTCAGCCGAATACAAACTGCACGCCTGAGGTGATCCACGCGCCAGCACGCGAGGCTTGCAGCTCGAGTTTGCGAAATCGCCGCCGAGCAGAGCGTGCCGCCCCCGAGCATCGCCGGCCTTCCGAGAGCTGGCGGCTCGCACGGGACCACGAGGGGGGTGCCGCGGGGGGGGGGGGGGGGGGGGGGGCGGCCCTTGACGAATCGGAAGGGCGCGCCCCCAGGGGTGGGGGGGGAACCCGAGCCCAGAGCGTGGCTTCCTCCTCCTCCTCCTCCTCGTCCTCCTCGTCCACCTCCCCCTCCTTCTCCTCCTCCTCCTCCCCCTCGTCGCCCTCCTCCTCCTCGTCCTCCTCCTCCTCCACCTCCTCCTCCTCCTCGTCGTCGTCCTCCTCCTCGCCGCCGGGGCGGGGAAGCCCGAGCCCAGAGCGTGTGCCAGGGCGTCGAGGCTGCTGGACGCAGTTGCCGCCCGCTCTCGGGCCTCTCCCGTAACGTTCCCGTCGCCACGGCCGGCCTCCCCTCGAGGCGCCCGCGGCCCGCGCGGAGGGTTGGACCCCCTCGGCAGGGAGCACCCAAAGGGGCCCAGGGACACACACTCGGGGAAGGACAGACCCCCCTTTACCAGAACGTGGTTTAGTGAAAACGACCTGAGGCCCAAACCTGGCGGGCGCAGGCCCGGAAAATGACGGCCATGGCGCCCTCTCGAGAACCGCCAACGGACAATTCACTGATCGACGTGTCACTGTTGGGGGTTCTGTCCAGCCCCGACACACATGGATAGAAACGAATCCCAAGAGTCCCTGTACTTCCACATCTGTTTTCTGTCTTTCCGGCTCCCCCCCCCACGTCCCCTATTTTCCCAGATGTGTTCCTGGGAGTCGACGATGGATTGTGTCAGTGTGTGCTTTCCCCTCCTGAATCTTGGCGGAAAACAAAATACATGTTTGTTTCGCCGCGTTCGGGCTCCCATAGCCCAATCTGTTCCCAGGGACCATCAGACAACTACTCAGGATGGAAAAGTGTTTCTGGGGCAGACGCCGAGGTCCAGGGTTTCCTCCGAGATCCGTTTCCCTCGTTCCAGCTGCACGGCCCCGCACCCCCACGGCAGATGTGAAGCAATTGAAACATGGCCACGACAGAATCAGTCAAGGACATGGGCTCCCTCGCCAAGAGCCACAGGCCCTACGG